CACAGGAATTGGAAAACAGCCTGACGATACGGTAAGTGCCAATTACTATTTTTTATAAATGCCAATGCTTAAAGCTGCACCATAATTATTATGTCTCCTTGAAATATTTCAAAGACATATAGTATAAATATAAATTTGAACATTTAAAGTTAAAATTCAAACACTGAACTTTATTAAACATCTTTGTTGTCCTTTGTTTCCTACCCGTGTGACATAAGTAGACACAAAGGTATCCACAGGGGAAACTAGGATAAGCATTCTAGGTAGGTCAACTTTTTTGACTACCATGTAAATGACTTTATTAGTATCAGTGAGTATTTTCAGTATTGATTAGTGTCCTATTATCTTTAATTGTCAACTTGACACAGCTTTGAGTCATCTGAGAGGAAGGTTCTATTGAGGAACTTCCTCAATCAGACCTGTGGTATGTCTTGATTGTTAATTGATAAAAGAGAGCCCAGCCGTGGTGGGCAGCATCATCCCTAGGAAAGCAGTCCCGGGCTGTTTAAGAAAACCAGCTCCTCATGAGCCTGAGAAAGTCAGCAAGCAACTCTCCTCCACGGCTTGTGCTTCAAGCTCCTGCTTGAGTTCCTGACTTCCCTCAGTGATGGACCATGACCTGAAGTCCCTGACATCCCTCAGTATGTATGTGTGTATGTGTGTGTGACTCTATGTGTGTGTGTGTGTGTGTGTGTGTGTGTGTAAATCACATTTGTGGAAGTGCCTGCAGAGGCCAGAAGAGGCATGTGATCCCCTGGAGCTGGAGTTACAGGTAGTAGTAAGCCACCTGACTTGGGTACTGGGAGCCAAAAAGGTCCTCTGCAAGAGCAGTTACATGCTAACTGCCTCACTTCAGCGCTGGTAAGAATGTTTCATTACAGTAATAGAGTGAAGCCAGAACAACTACCTTTTCCAATTCTAATGCAGAAGACAGAAATTGTACATGTTTAGAGTTGAAGCTGCAAACACTGTCACATTGTATGATCTATTTGTTTTCTTTTTATGAGAGAAATAATTTGCAATGGTCTATGAATCCTAACAAAATGTACATTGAGCAGCAAAAGCTTAAACAAATGCTGCTCTTGGAAAAAGAGAGAGAGAGAGAGAGATAGACACACTCACAGACACCAGGAACTCAGAGACATGCAGAGAGGCACACACAGATACACCACAGAGAGAAACACATAGATACACAGAGACACACACATGCACACGCGGACACACAGACACATATAGACAGATACACACAGAGACAGATATGTACAGCGAGAGACACACACACGTGCATGCACACACACAGTCAGCATTGCTCTCTGGCAGAAAGACCCTAGAAGAGGGGAACCCAGGCCAACACCAGAGGCCATGATGCCCTGGGCTTTATGAAACAATCACTCTCTTTTCCTCTTCAAACTCCCAACAGAAGTATTTAAAAAAAAAACTATCTTTAAAAAGCTTCAAAAATACAAGAAGCATTTTGCATATGACGAAGGCATTTCTAAGACAATTCCATTCAAGGTTGTGGGAGTTATATTCTTTGTAGAATTTTCATTGCAGTCACCCAACACAACAGATATTGTAATGGAGTTTTTCTAAACATCAGGTAAGTTTTCCCTTTAAGGACTTTCTATAAACAACTTTCATGTTTTTCTTCAATAAAAGATTATAGCTTAAATCACGGTTTGATCCCCTAGATGGGTTCATGAATAGATCACCTAAGAGGAAATTAAATTTCCCGTACTTGTATTATTCTTTCAAGAATCTCTAAGGAATGCATCACTTACACCTTAGCTCAGCCTTTAGATCAAAGGCAAGGACAAGCATTCTAAGGACAACTAATTTAGGATATGCGCCCAAAGATAATGCAAATGTAAAAATTTAAGGAAATTTAACTAAGAAATTTAACTAAATACCAGATGAGATTCAGTTAATCCTATGTCCTTAAACTATTTCCTAAAATATCAAACAAAGAAGACTAATAAAAATCTAATTAGAAATTGCTTTGAAGAGACATTTGGTTCAAACAAGAAACAAACTTAGGGTTCTCTGGTGTTTTAAAGGAAGTTTATTGGCCCATCCACACATACAAATGCGCGCGCGCGCACACACACACACACACACACGAATCATTGTGGAAGGCTAGATAATTGCACTCCCCAAAGATGTCCAGGCCCTGTGATCTCTTGCTAGTCACGGAAACTGTAACATGTGACATTACATAGCAAAGTGGTTCACAGGTGGATGAAGTCGAAATCCTGATATTGGGGATCAGATTATTCAGGTGGTTCCAATGTGATCAAGGGTCTCATAAGAGGGAGGCAAGAGTATCAGAGTAAGAGAAAGTTCTGACAACTGGGGGGTGGAGGACAGAGAGAGAGGAAGAGGAGAGGGAGGTTGACTGGGAAGGTCCACACTAACTGCCTTTGAAGATTACAGAAGGGCCCAAGAGCTAAGGAAAGCAGGGTCCCCATGTTCTGCCTCTAAAGCACAGAAAGGACTAGGAAATGAATACCGCCCTACAGCCTCTGGATGGCGCACACTCTGCTGACACCTTAATTTTACCAGTGATCTCACAATCTGTAAGATCAGTGTAGTTTTACAACATAAGAGTTTGATAAATACGGAACTAATATAACCATGGAACATAGCCACCTATTTTCCTACTACTGAGAATCTGGGTTGTTTTTTTTTTTTTAAGACTGCCCCCAGGAGTGGTAGGTAGTGATTTTGACTAGTCTTTTCTCTAACACTACTACCCACACTGGAGTCACTGCACCCTCATTTGCTGGCATAGATCACCAAGCGTCAACTGTTTAAGAAGGCCAGCTGGCATGGGGAGGGCATCCAGTGCTGTCTCACGGGGCAGATATGGGAATCATTCTATCCCATCAGGCTCCCTGTGGTGTACACAGTAGGTGCATACGCATTTGCACATTTGCATGTGTATGGAAGCACATGTGTAAACCACTAGGGGTTTTCCAGACAAAAATGAAAACCTGAGCTATGGACATCAGAGGGAACAAACAGGGTGATTAATTTAGAGCAGCTTAGAAGATACATTAAAATGCTCATAAACTAGTGAGCAAAAGCCTGATTACCCTCCTAGTTTCCTTTAGAGTATTCAAAGTGGATCTGTCATATCAAACTGGAAGAGTTGTCATAAAAACTATGTTGTCCGAATTTTTCTGCTTTGCGATTTTCAGTCAAAATCAACTAACCTACAGTAATACTTTAGAAATAACAAGACAACAATAATTACGAAGGAAAATGAGCATAATGAATTCTCAAATGCGTATTTTCTTCAATCTTAGGCCAGAAAATACTTGTTAAAGTTGCACAAACCACATTTATTTTGACAATTTGTTGCTCAAATATAGTTTAATCAATGGGTCTAAAGCAGAAGGCATTTCAATCACTAAAGTGAACATCGGAATCTGTGTGTGTGTGTGTGTGTGTGTGTGTGTGTGTATACGCACGCGCGTGGGGGGTGTGAGGATGTCAAAGGACAACCCTGGTGTCACCTCTCAGGTGCTATCACCTTTGTTTTAGACAGGGTTGCTTGGCCTGGAACTGACCCAGTGGGCTGGGCTGCCTGGCCAGCAAGCCCCAGAGATGCTCCTGTCCCCAACACCCAGCTCTGGGGTTTCAAGTCCACACCACTATGCTCATTACATTGGTTCTAAGGACAGAACGTGGGTCCCCATGTTCGTGCAGCAAGCATTTTACCCACTCAGCCTTCTCCCTGCCTGGCTGATGAAGCATTTTGAAGCAAGACTCCTCCTCCTAATCAACACTATTCCATGTCATTGATTGTCTACAGGTATGTACTAAGAAACAATCACCACAGTCTTTCTAGAATTACATAGCACATTCACACACTGACAAAAAAAAAACTAACTCTGTGGTTCTAAACTAGCAAATGATTACATTTTTTGGAAGTACGCTAAACAAATTGTGTTTGATATTGATAATCCACACACAAAGAGTAAGTAGCTAGCTTTAAAAAAAAAAAAAAGAAAAGAAAAAAGAAAGCAAATGCCGGAAAGGGGGAACTTCTCAAGAGTAGTATTTTATATTTAAGAGTATCCCCCTAGGTATTAAACGTGCTGCTAGCTGCTACCTAATGAGCCACCTGAGCTGTCATTTCTAATAACTGACTGACAACCTGTAAGTTGATAATTCTGAAAATCAATGGTGCAGTAGTTAACAAAGCGAAGAACAGAAACTATTCCACCTATTAAAAAATAGTATTATCTTATACCTAGCATAACACTGTTAAAAATAACAAACAGATAATTATAATTTAAAAAAACAACAGACACCAACATGCACTGACACTGTAAACAGCTGGACCTATATATAAATCTAAACAGTGTGTGCCAGTCACTCGTTTACAAAGGTCATTTGGAAGTTAGGTGTGAAGAGAGTTCCATGTTAAGCACTAGCCTAGCATGCAAAGGATCTGTGTTCAAATCGCAGTAATAAAAAAGTTTTTAAGCCAGGTGTGGTGGCACACGCCTTTAATCCCAGCACTTGGGAGGCAGAGGCTGGCGGATCTCTGTGAGTTCAAGGCCAGCCTGGTCTACATAGTGAGTTCCAGGTCAGTTGGGGCTACAGGGAGACCCTGTCTCAAAAAGACCAAAAAAAAAAAAAAAGAGTTTTTGAGCCCATCCATCCACTGAAACCTCTAGGAAACATAACTATGCAAGATAGAATATGTTGAAATAAATAATTGGACATTCAATCCACTCTAATGAGCCAAACTTCAGTGCAAAACAAGGCGTAAAAATAAATACCACAAAAAGGCAACAATTCAATTCAGCAAACACAGCAGTAACACATCATGAAGTCATATAATTGCCTTTTGCAATCCATATGTACTTCTTTTCCAAATACAAAAACTACCTTTAAATAACTCCATTTTCAAACACTGAAAACTAAAAGAAAAGGCAGACCTCCTCCACAAAGAGAAAGCAGACCTCCCCCACAAAGAAAAGGCAGACCTCCTCCACAAAGCTGTCCTTCTTCTCCAGCATCTCTCGGAGGGTCTGGAGAATCTTTACGCACAGTTTTTCTTCTTTCTCCATCAGCTTCTTTGTGTGATTGATCAACCTGAAAGCACAAGACCAACCCTGAGACAGGACACTGACTCCTCACAGAGGTATGTGCACGAAGATGTGCAGCAGCGCAGAACAGTCACAACACGAGACACCAAGGCGAACTGCATACATAGCGTCCAAGTTTCAAAACTATAATTCAGCCTATAGCGTTTGCTTGGTACAATGCATGTAGTATACAGCAGTGCTCTGACGTATGATGTGTACCCAGTGCTCTGATGTATGATGTGTATGCAGTGCTGATGTATGATGTGTACCCAGTGCTCTGATGTATGATGTGTACCCAGTGCTCTGATGTGTGATGTGTACCCAGTGCTCTGATATGTGATGTGTACCCAGTGCTGATGTGTGATGTGTACGCAGTGCTCCGATGTATGATGTGTACGCAGTGCTCTGATGTATGATGTGTACCCAGTGCTCTGATGTGTGATGTGTACCCAGTGCTCTGATAACAATTCAATTCAGCAAACACAGCAGTAACACATCATGAAGTCATACAATTGCCTTTTGCAATCCATATGTACTTCTTTTCCAAATACAAAAACTACCTTTAAATAACTCCATTTTCAAACACTGAAAACTAAAAGAAAAGGCAGACCTCCTCCACAAAGCTGTCCTTCTTCTCCAGCATCTCTCGGAGGGTCTGGAGAATCTTTACGCACAGTTTTTCTTCTTTCTCCATCAGCTTCTTTGTGTGATTGATCAACCTGAAAGCACAAGACCAACCCTGAGACAGGACACTGACTCCTCACAGAGGTATGTGCACGAAGATGTGCAGCAGCGCAGAACAGTCACAACACGAGACACCAAGGCGAACTGCATACATAGCGTCCAAGTTTCAAAACTATAATTCAGCCTATAGCGTTTGCTTGGTACAATGCTGTATGATGTGTACCCAGTGCTGATGTATGATGTGTACCCAGTGCTCTGATATGTGATGTGTACCCAGTGCTCTGATGTGTGGTGTGTACCCAGTGCTGATGTACGATATGTACCCAGTGCTCTGATGTGTGATGTGTACCCAGTGCTCTGACGTGTGATGTGTACGCAGTGCTCTGATGTGTGATGTGTACCCAGTGCTCTGAGGTGTGATGTGTACCCAGTGCTCTGATGCGTGATGTGTACCCAGTGCTCTGATGTGTGATGTGTACCCAGTGCTGATGTATGATGTGTACCCAGTGCTCTGATGTGTGATGTGTACCCAGTGCTGATGTGTGATGTGTACCCAGTGCTGATGTGTGATGTGTACCCAGTGCTGATGTGTGATGTGTACCCAGTGCTGATGTATGATGTGTACCCAGTGCTCTGATGTGTGATGTGTACCCAGGGCTGATGTACGATATGTACCCAGTGCTCTGATGTGTGATGTGTACCCAGTGCTCTGATGTGTGATGTGCACCCCAGGGCTCTGATGCAGGCACTGCACCCCAATGATCCACAAACTAGGCTGGCATATTCTCTTACAGGGCACAATACTGAGAATCAAGGAAACACTACTATCCCCTTTTCTACTCTACTAGTAGAAAAAATTTGCACAACATACTACATATTATCACATCATATATTATTTTCTATGCATTGTGTCACCTTAACTACAGGAAGCAGTAGATAACATCATCATGACCTCATCATAACAAACTGTTTCCCATTTCCATTAATGTGAGATGCTACTTTACTATGCCAGGGCTTGGTACAAGCAGCCAGTTTCTGTGATTAGAGGAGAAAAAAGTAGCCTCAGGATAGCTTAATGCATTTGCTACTTTGCTATGATTTAGACAAGAACTAACTGTACCCTTCATGCTCCTGTAGTGAACCGTGCACTGGGATTGTGCTAGGAGACTTTCAGGATGGTGATTATAAACCACCCCAAGATTCAAAATCAAGTGAAATACTTGTAATCAGGATATTTAATTCAGCATTCACAGCCTATGCTGTTAAAAGGCTGGTCCTTCAATGGTCTTGTTCATGCATGTCTCTTGTCTCCCCAGAGGGACAAAATGTTGCAGACTAAGAGGAAATGACCAATTATAATGATGTAGCATTAATACTATGGGATATAACTCTGGGGAGAGCAGCTTTCTCTCATTAGTGCCCAGCTAGTGTTTCTTGGGGATCAAGGTTTAAGAAAGAAGTTCCAAGGATTCTCTCAATTCATCCTCACCAAAAGCCAGAGACAGATTCCATAACCTGGCTAAATTCACTAAAGAGGAAGTGGGCCCAGACAGATGATGCAACTTGCCTCTGGGTGTGTAATCTTAGTGGGGAGACCTGGAAATAGACTTCAGAGTTCCCCCTCCCCCAGAGTTCTGCTCTGTGCCAGCATGCCACAGCTCATCAACCAATGTCTAGAGTTTCAGGGCAGGGTCCCAGCAGGCAACAGGCTGCATGTGTCAGCTGTGCATAGAGGTACTGGCAAAAGCGATAAACTAGACAAAGAAAGCTCTTCACTGTGCTGCAGGAAATTCCCCAGAGCCGGTCGTGGGCTTTGGGAAAGAGGTAGCGCTTCGGCGTGAAGACCTCACAGGGCAGGAAAGGTGGGGAGAGAAGGCAAACCTGAAGGGGACAGTACAGACAAAGGCAGAGGTGGAAGGCTGCGGTCACTTCTGGGAAACAGCAAACAGGAAACAGGAAAGGAGAGGCTGGAATGCCGTGCTAAAGGGCATTCAATGTGGCCCACTGTGGAGAATTACTGACATGCCTACAATCCCAGAATTTGGGAGGCTGAGGCAGACAGCAGGAGGAAAGAAGGGATGGCGAGATGGAGGGAGGAGATCGCGAATGTTTTCTAAAGAAAATAGGAAACAGCTGTTAGAATGGGTCTGCGACTGCCTTCCTGCGTGAGGGAGACACCATGGAGGAAAACGAGGGTATGACAGGAGAGGCTGCAGCAAAGTGAGGGGCAGATGAGGCACAGGACTGCGAGGGTCAAAGAAACAACCAGAAGTTTCCTAGCCAAACTTGGCACCTAATGACAGCGTCGGAAGAAGGCACATGTCTGGGCCCTTGCGATGTAGGGGTGGGTCAGCTGGTAATATTTTGAAATGAACCCCATTTCCTGCTGAAGGCACAGCATTCAAATGGATAGCGACTTCCTCTCAGATGCACAGTCTGGACACTGTATGATACACCCATGTGACCAAGTCCAGCAGGCAGAAGGAGAAACTGTCCAAGAGCTCCTGAGAAAAGTGACCCGTGTATCTAACCCGTGTCTCTAACTTCCAGGCCTGCCTTCCATTCTTCACATCACAGTCACAATGCAGCAAAGTTGTTTGGTTAGATACCATAAATTTCTTTTGATTGTTTATTCTGAGGCTAAATATTTCTATCCTCCTTAGGTAAAACTACTTAATTCATTCACCATATTGAAAATATCAGCCTCAAGGTTGCATGACCACTTATGGATTTCTGAAAGGAATTCATATGTGATGTAATGTTTGACTGGGTAGGCTCAGTGACTTTAAAATGTGTTTTCTATGAGCAAACAAGGAACACAGTCCATAAAACAACCCAATCTATAAGTATACTTGTGTGAACATGTGTACACTGACCCAAAATTTCTCTTTACTGTGAGATGTACTCTGACATTTTATATTTTTTTCTATCTCGGGTTTTTAAATGAGTTAGCTGCTGCTACCTTAGTTAACCTGAAAATCCCTAAGCGGACAGCATCCACTGGAGGAAATGGATGAAGAGCTCTGCCTTCATCCAGGGCTCTCATTCTCCAACTCAGCTTTACCAGAGTGCCGTGCACAGCAGTGGAAGGGCCCAGCGTGGCTGCTGATAAAACTGAATTCTAGTCTTGTTAGCTGTCTTTGCAAAGGAAACTCTTAGCTCTTGGCAGAGATGGGAAAGGGGAGGTAATGGCCACAGTAGAAAATAGTCATAAAATAGTTACGATAGCCATCTCTCCGGCCCTCAATGTAAATTTTACTTTAAGCTGCCATGTGTGACCTGTAGCTACCATACTGACACCTCATTTGTGACATGGAGTTTTCTCAGAAGGATCAGCTACTAGGTTTTGGGTTTTATGGCCCAGCAGCAGACCGGAAAATGCCCATACAGGTGGCCTCTCTTTAACCCCAGCAGAATCTTGGGACTGGCTCCACTTACTTTGACATGAAGGCTCCACATCTTATTCTCGCATCGCTTCCCTCCGGGAACAATAGCTCTGGGCTGTATAGTACATCCACCAGCACCGAGAACTCAGCCTGCATCATCGGGCTGAACTGCTGCTCCAGGGAGGCCACCACATCCTAAGACACAAGCACGAGAGGCCCAGGTGAAGACCTGTGTCACGTTTTGAAGCTGGACACATCTAGGAACACTAGCCAGGAATCAGAGAGGATGGACCTTGGCTCCCAAGACACCAAATGTTTGCCCTTTGTACTTTAATATGGTCTGGTTCTCTGTGTAGATCCTACCCAGTGTGTATCCTAAAGATTTATTTATTTACTTTAATATTTTATTATTTTT